ACCTTCAGTTGAGAGATTCCCCTGCGGACCATCCTTCTCGAAATCGGAAACCTTGTCATCCAAGCCCAAAAACCCTAAACCCTAAACCCTAAACCGAAAGGAGAGCAGACCGGAGTAGCAACCGAGCCACCCCAAGCAATCATTCGAGGAGCGGGGGGGGGGGCGGGGGGGGGGGGGGGGGGGGGGGGGGGGCGGTATGACTGAGACTTCACCACTGCTGCAAGTTATCTTCCAACCTCTTATCCGAATCCTCGCCCAAACCGGCGAACTCGGCCTCCTCGCGACCAGGTCCAGTTGTTCAGACCGCTCGACGAGGATGTCGTGTCTAAGGCAAGGACATTTTGCAACCAGGGCTTTATTGTGGGGCAGAGTTGGGATTTGGGTTTAGGGCTCAGGTTGGTTGGACTGACATCTCCGCAGGAGCGTGAAGAGGGTGTTGGGTTGAAGTAGCGCAAATACGATGCTGGAGAGCTAGAAGGCTGGTGGAAGAAGTTTGCTACACGATATGACGAAGGATATACCGTTGGCATGTAGTTCAACGTAAGCTGCATGTACTTCGGTATATACTTCGTGACGCAATGCAGCACCACCCTGGCGGCCTTGAACTATGAGTTAGGAATTTGGGCCTGTGACCTCGCAGCAACAGTAATAGTGGCAAAATCAGCGATGCTGTTAAACGTGATAGCGGGAGCCAATACCTACCTGCCTTCTCTTGACTGATTAGCCTTAGGCTGCAATCTTTTCCGCTATCTGCAGGCAGAAGCCCCAAAACCAACATGACGACAACATACGCCTAAGCTTACATGACCGAACCCTAAACCCTAAACCCTAAACCCTAAACCACTTTACTCCAGTCCAAGTATACTCCAGACCCTGAGAGTCCTTGGCCCGAAACCCTGAACTATTCAATATGTGCGCCCTACTCCGGTTTAGGGTTTAGGGTTTCCCCTAAACCCTAAACCCAACAGCCTAAACCCTAAACCCAACAGCCTAAACCCTAAACCCAACAGCCTAAAGCCTAAATGCAAAGATAACATCGAGCTACCAAGGTTTGAGAGCAACTCTCGGGGCCCCGGCTTCTGTTGCTCTCGGCCCAACTCGAGCTGCAGCTCCACTTTGGGATGCCTTCGTCAGAGCCCAGCCGACTGTATGGCATGCAACAACACCAAGGATGACAAAGCAAAGACCATGATGAGTAGCACAACAGCAAAACTAAGCGAGGTTGAAGATCAAGATGAAAATGAAAACGAAGAAGAAGAAGACGGCAAACAGGATGTCGATACTGATAGCTGGTGGTGATGGCCGTTGTGAACATGTGAACAGGGATCGCAATGACATGGGAAAGCAAAAAACCTCAACATCGTCTTGATGTTGCTGCTGTGGGCTTTCATTTTATTGCTGTTCCGACTATTACGAGAAGAACTCTTCCCGTTGTATTCGATGGTGCTGCTGCTGACAATGATGAGGATGACGGTCATTGCTGGTATTGGCCACATCTGGCCATCGCTGCTACTTTGCAATGAGTATTTGAAGATCGAGGGACTTAGTAAGTAGGGTTATGTATAAGGTAATAGTTGTCACAAATCCTTATAAACCCAGATATGTAGATATAACGTTACGTAGTAAGTCACTTGATCCTCCAAGAGCTGATACATGCAAAGTACCTGCCATGCTTTTATACCCAAGGGGGAAGATGATGTGGCCCTTCGATGCCAAAAACCCGACACACGAAACGAGGCGTCCCGTGGAGGATTTGGGGCTTTTGGGGTTCAGGGTTTAGGGTTTCTAAAAGGGCCCGTTAAACCTGCTCTGCTTAAAAAAGGCTGCCGCAGCTTGAAACTCACCGACGTTACCCTAAACCCTAAACCCTAAAACGCCTAAACCCTCAACCTCTGAACTTGTCCCCAAACCCGAAACCCCTGAGCCCTAAGCCCTTAAGCTTACCTTTGGTTAGTAGGGAATGGAGGAATGGGGTAGAATTCTAACTACCATTACTACCATTCTTCCATTCCCTGCTAACCAAAGGTAAGTAAGCCGTCCAAGGGGCTGTGACGCCTGCTGAATTCGTCCTTTGAGCTCCTCGATGACCTGAGCCTGCTAAACACTTGGAGCTTCATGGGTAGTTAGGTTCCTTTAGCGGTCCCTTTTAAAGGGATCTATAGGGATTCTATAATTATAACGGTATAGGGATAAGGCTCTATCTTGGAGGTTCAGGGGTAGTTACAAGTGGGTTATAGGGTATAGGGTTGACAGTAGGGGGTTGTGCAGTTTATAGGGCTTAGGTGAAAGGGTTTAGGGGTTACAGGGCCTAGGGGTTATGGGGTTTAGGGGGTTTAGGTTACAGGGTTTAGGGGTAGTTATCATAAGCCAGTATATCTACCTTACTGACAGCCCCACTTATAACTATCAGTAACTATCCATAAACCTCCAAGCAAGGAAGACTTGGCTCTCTCGCCCGGAACCCCAAAACCCTTAGCCCCTACACCCAAAAGACTTTCTGCATGTCCTCCTCACCTACAGGTCTAGGGCATCCATCATCTTCAGTTCAGACATTCATGGAGAGGAAGATGTCGAGGTAGACCACCGGGCATCCAAGACATGCGACAAACCAACACGGCAGGGCCCATGAAGCCCTCACAGACCCCCAACTAACCCAACAAAACCCTAAACCCCAAAACCCTAAATGGATAACTATAAAGTTTTAACCCATATTAAGGGACTCAAGCCCTCCGGCCTGTCTGGAGCAGGCGGCCCCTGCTGCCTGCACCTCCTTGGCGCGCGCCCGCGCGGCCGCCAGGACTTTCCTGGACTGACTCGAGAGGACGTTGTGGAGTGTCAAAATTCTTTGTCATTGAGGGACCCACCTCTTTTACGATGACCGCGGCATGAGAGCAACTCAATTCTTTCAAGGACTATAGCTGGGGTTTGAAGCCACGGTGGGGTGGGCAGCCCTCTGGGCAAGCCCTCGCCGGCAAAGATCTCCAACGTCTGATTGCTGCCAAGCTGCCAAGCCTCTCTTAAAATTTGAACCCTGAAGCCACAAACCCCTAAACACTATGCCATGGGTTTCGGTTTTAAATTTAGGGCTTAGACTCCGGAGCCCTTATCCCTAAATCCCCAAACCAGAAAGCCTGCTTCAGTCCCCGTGGCTTCTGCTCTTCGCGAACCTGCTTGAACTCCCGGAATTGCCTAGGCGTTTGCAAGAGCAGGAGCTGGGTGGAGGCTTTAGTTTCGGGTGGAGGGTTGAGGGTTAAGGCTTTTAGAGGCGCATGTGCCTTGCGAGGTGCAGGCATGAAATACCACGAAGGAGGAGGTCGTGCGCTGTCTGATTAACCTAAGGCTGCGAAAGCCGAGCAGACGAAACTTGTGCTGAAGGCAGTCCGTGCTGAAAGTCTTGAGTGCCACATTCAGAACCCGCGTTCCAATTGCACGGATTAAGGCAATGGCTCGTGGTAGTACTTACTTGCGTGGGTTGACACCATGCAACACCCGACCAACCGAGAAACCCTGCCCACCTCTCCAAGAGCCTGCGCTGAACTAAGAAGTCAGTATTTCGTCTATCCAAAGCTCACTATAGCTTCAGTCTTCAGTACGACAGAATGACATTAAGATATAATAGGAATCAGCCTCCGGCTTCCAATCCCGACAGAGTATTCACAAAGATAACAGCAGTGCATCTCTGTGCAGCTCATACTATAACCATACTACTATCACGGCCGGAATGGGTAGTTATAAGTAGAGAGAGAGATATATGAGTAGAGGTATAAGTCCCCTGATGTGGGTCATGAGTATGGTACCCTACTTACAAGCCCACTTACAACTACCCGTGAACCTCCAAGTAGACCCTTAACCCTATACCCTTCTAGAATCCCTATAGATCCCTTGAAAGGGACCCTTAGAACTACCCATGAACCTCCAAGTAGTGCAAATGGAAGACAGCCTCGTTGCTGCCGAGTGGCTGCTCAACACGTCTCGCCCAATCGAGCTCCTTCGGCTTGCATCAGAAGCTGCCCCCACCCTGTAGTAGTTACTATAAGGTTTAGGGTTGGGTTTAGGGTTCAGGGTTTAGGGTTTAGGGGTTATATTAGGGCCCTATTATATTCCTATTGCATTCCGATTATACCACTATTACAGGGTGGGGCCCCTTCTAAGGCTTGCATCTCACCGCTCGCGGGCTGTGGCTTCATTCTACAATCCTACTGTTGATGATAGAAAAATCCTGCATTACCTTAAGGACCCTAAACTACGGGAATTATGGTACATTCCGTGTTATGGGTAATGCAGGATTTATATCATCAGCCGTAGAGATTCAGGCAGGAGGGATGTCGCGGAGTAGGCCCTAGGACTAGTTTGAGTTTGTCTTCGTACTTCGCAATGCATTGGGATCTCACGACCATCTTTCGAACAGCCTACTTCCTGATTTCCAAAGCTTTACACCTGCGGTTGGTTATCAGAACTAACTATCTTATTAATAACCCTCCCCCCGAGCCCTAGACCCTAAATCCCTAATGATGACCCTATACTTGTTCGTTCATGGGTCGTTGTAAGCGGGTGCTAACTTGGGAGGCTACAATTATAACCCTCATTGGACTACCACTACTACTACTACTACTACTACTACTGCTAACACCACTACTACTGCTGCTGCTGCTACTACTACTACTACTGCTGCTAATACTACTACTACTACTACTACTACTGAAGTTTCCCAGGCTACCAGCTTGGCACGTCTAGTTACCGGTCAGTCAACCCTTGTGACCTTTTTCCACGGGGGACTTGGGCCAAGTGCGGTCGCGTAAAGACATAGCTAAGGACCATAGGAATAGCAATGGAGGCAGGGTAAAATCTACACCCCCCTCGCCATGCTGCTCGAGCTAAGGCGGATAGTACGTGGCTCCAGGTTGCCCTGGGCTTCAACGGATTTGGGAATTTGCCAAAGCGAGCATTTATAAAGCACAACGGGGAAGCCCTGCAGGTCCGAAGCAAATCAGAATGAGGACTCAGCGCCTATGGGTGCGGTTCCATGCATCCCACTCGGCCTGAGTGTAACCTCCACGACGCTGGCGATAGTACTCGTCCCACTGGGCCTGAGTATAGCCTCTGTACATGGGCTCAGGTGCTGTCGTGCGACCACGTCCCTTTTGGGATGGGCGGTTCTGGACTGCAGCCTGGCGATTGCGCTCTGCCAGACGTTCCGTTTGGTCTGTCTGGTCCTGAGCACTACGGAGGCTATCGGTAAGAATCTGTCCGATCTCAGTTGTGATGCCTTCAATTGTGGTAGCCGACACATAGACTTCGCCGTCGAAAGTCAGGATCCTTTTCGCAGCATCGTTCACTGCTGCCACCTCAGCATAGAGTCGCGGAGGGAGGAATGCACCGAGGTAGGTCAAGCCGATGGGGACATCCGCGGTATCATCGATAAACCGCAAGTTCCTCAACGGCTCCACTTCGCAGTGGGCATAATAGACCAGCTTCGCAGGCGGGACATTGCCACCACCATAATGGGAGCCAGCACGCAAGTAGCGCTGCTCCTCACTGCGTCCTGGATCGGGAAGCACAGCGTTCGACAGGTGATCGAATTTCTGCATGTCCTCAAGGCTGCGGCCCTCTTGCATCATTCTCACGTTGAACTGCGCGTCCTTCTCGAAGCGGTCGGACACGGTGTCAAAGTTCAACTTGGCGGCCCTGATCTTTCGGTCTTTGGCGTCACGAATGGCGGCGGCCTCCGCGCTCATCTGACCACGCTTCTTTGGTCCCTCGCCCAGGCCTCGAAGGTCACTCGCGAGGAGATCATCGATGGGCTTCTGGGCTCCGGTCGCAGCGGTGGCAAGAAGGCGCTGGCGGAGTCTCGAATTCTCAAAGACTCGCTTTGTGATTTTCTTGGAGTCATCCGTCTGGGGAGCCTTGCAACGGAGGCAGAACAGCATGCCATTGGCAACGACTGCTGCGCACTCGCGGCATGGGTGAGAGCCAAGTGGGTACGGCTCATCCTCACCCGCATCCGTTGTATCGCCTTCATCGACTTCGACCTCAACCTCAACCTTGGTTTCGTCAAGGTCGAATGCACCAGCAGCATCAGCAGGCTCACCCTCGCGGGTGGCTTCATCCAAGTCCATGCTTTCGTCCTTTTCGGCGATTGCGGCGGGCTTGGGAACCACCTTCGGCATCTTCTTTGAAGCAATCGCTTTGGGAGCGATAGCCGCCTGTTTTGGGGGCGGTGCCGATGATGAGCTTGCTGCTGCGGCCTCCTCATAGTCGCGCTTTGCGCGGAAAATGCGCTCTGGCTCACCCTCGCGGGCGGCTTCTTTGTGCTCGGCGACGTAGAGCGGGAGGTTCTTTTTGCTGGTGTCGATGGCGGACAGCACGCAATCGGGAGGCACATTGTCCCGTGTGAGGACGCCGTCGGTCTCCGTGACGAAGAAAACGCATCCAGCGGCGATTGCTCGCTGCGTGTCTATCGTCAACTCGATCGGCTGGTTGGAGCGCATTCCACTCTTGTAGTGAGTGTCGTCCAACTTGTACGGGGACAGGTAGTTGTGGGACCTGTCTGACCTCGCGGAGCCGGCGATCATTCCATCGCGGAGGATACCCTTCATTCCCTTTTCATTCGTGCGGTGGAAGAGCTTTGGGGGGGTATCCTCGCGGGAGAGCACAGTGACCCCCCTGACGCTGCTCTGCAGGTCTGCCTCGTACTCGGACAATCCGCTGTAGAACCTGGTCGCAAGGAAGAAGTCCGCGTCCGGGTTATTGCCGATGAGCTTGGAGTTATGCCCTTGGGCCATCCTCACTCTGACAGGGAATAGCGGTTGACCCAGGGTGTCCTTCATTGGGACGTCAATGCCCAAAAGTCTGATCCGTCCCTTATTATCGGCTTTCGCTGCGCGTAGCAGCTGCCTCACACCCCAGCGTGCGCCTCGTGCCGTGTTGAAGACCTGGAGCAGAGTGTCAACGTCTGTCCAGCACCCACGGTCAAAGATCAATGCAGGGAAGCTGTCCATTTCATGGCCACGCAGCAGCTTGGTGAGGAACTTCAGGTCTCCGTGTTTGAATGTCACGTGCCTGTCTCCTACAATGTCCTCCGGGTTGAAGGGCTTCATCAAGTGCTTCTTGCCATTGTAGAAGTACTCATTTGGAAGCTCTGGCACAGTGGCAGCCCCTTGCGGGGCGCTTTCGTCGATGAACATGAGCCTACGCATGGCATCCTCGTCTCGATCCGACTTCTTAGTCTTCTTCGGAGGCGCTGGCTCAACAACACGTCCAATCGATGAGGGGATAGGGTCGACCTGGTCGCCCTCGTCCACCAGTTCCACCGTGCCCGGGGTGTTGTAGGACACCTTGCCGTCTGCGTCCTGTGTGACGATATCATGGACGCATTCCGCCACAGCACTAACGTCCGTGGTTGCACCGATCCTTGGCACATCCTTGCGGATGGCTTTATCCATGGGTGGCCCCTCGGAGATCTTATTGACGTCGATTGCGTCAGCGGCATCTGGGGCTTCCCACATCTTGTCCTCCTGGGTGACCGGCATTGGCTTGGCCTGTTTCGGGTTCATCAGCTGGTCCTTCTCTGCACGCCACTGCTTGAAGACATCCTCGAGCACTGGATTGTTGGCATCGGAGCCAGTCTCAAAGTGCTCATAGCGAACAAGCAAAGCCCTGACACAGGGTGCCATCTTCTGGGCCAGCCATTCGCTCCTGCTTGCATTGATAGTCGCATGCAAGTAGGTCTGGAATAACTCGCGGTTGCGAGGGTCTTCGCTGGCGTGAAAGCTGTCATACATTTCCAGCTTTTCGACCAAGGAGCTTGCGGTTTGCACTTGCAGACCGCGCTGCCTGAACTCTTCGAACATAGCGGCATTGAAGTCGTTGTAGGCTGAGTGGAGTTGGAACAAGTCCGCCTCCACCTGCCCAATCACCTTCACAAAACCAATGTCCGGCTCGCCCGCGAGGGCGGCTAAAACATCCGCTGCCCTTCTCACTTTCCGTGCGACGGTCTCCGTTGTGACATTGGGATCTCTGTAGGCGAGTCCCGGTCCTAGCCGCGTGGGGATGCAGCCCCACTGGCCGGAGATCTCGTTCCCGCACCACCAGCAGATTATGTCGATGGTGTGGTCCGGATAGTTGCTCCTGAGCTCCTTCACATGCTCCTCGACCTGCCAGACAATCCACGCCAAGGTTTTACCCCAACACATGGTATAGCGAGTCTGCGCCCATCCCAGCGTAAAGCTTGCGATGTTCACTTCCGCATCCAAGTCGGCCTTAACGAACACTCCCCGCCTGTTCTTCTTGCAAAGTGCAGTGGAGCTGTCTGACACGACTATGATGGCTCGCTTGGTCTTGGGGCTCAACCTTGCGGTTGGCTTCAACTTGGCGAGTCCCTCGTCACTGAGGTCAGCCATCTGGCGCAGAGCCACAGTGGTTGCGTCGGCATGGGTCAAGGATACCCCAGCCGCGCACTGTGTGGATACGCAGCTGTACGCCGACTCCAAGAGCTGGCTCTCATGATCGGCGCCGAGCGAAATGATATCGTTGTTGAGGGCGGCGGATTGGAGAATGGTTTTCATGGCCTTGGTAACCCCATTCCTGTCTGCTTCGGAGGTGTTGACCCTGCAGAACTCGTCGCTCACAACGATGGCTGCCATCTTGGGGATCGTAGAAGTCGCTTCGGGCAAGTCGAGAAGATCAGAACCAGCTGAAATTGCAATGGCAGGCGTGCACATAAAGAAAGCCAAGATTTCATGGTCAAGGCTTGCAGTTTGTTGTGTGTTTGTGCACTCGAGCGATGTGTGTGCAAACGAATCATTTTCGAAACGAGAACACGGTTTGTTAAGCCTACCCCCCTCATCGAGAGGGGAACCAACACACCTCAAACAAACCATTGCATTCTGAGCTGGGAGCTTCAACTGAGCCGTAGGCAAGAGGAACTGCGCTTGATGTAGGAATTGTTTTTGCTTCTTGTTGAACTTCTGGTACCCCCCTGAAGAGTAGGCGATGAAAGAATGTCGTTCGCCAGTGTAGGGTTGTACACCATGTTTTGTCGATGGATGCAACAGAGTGGGCTTGCGGTATGTGTTGCAATTGTAGCCTTTGTGGTCTTTGCCATGATCATCTGTGTATATTCCCGGTGGTCCCAACTGGCTCGCGCCCTCAATCCACAGTGTCCCCCCTGTATAGTTACCGAAGGAGAACGTCAGGTTGTACGATTCTTTCTGATTGTACTTATCCGTGTGGATGCGGGCCTTGCCATTGAAGTTGAACACGAACGAAGTCCATGTAAACCCTTTCGGAGATGATTGCTTAACAAATCCATTCACATACCTGCAAATCCATGGATAATGTTTCGTGCGGTTGGTAATACCAAAGCACCCACCATGGACCCAAGCGCCGAACACCAAGTATTTGGATAGGTTCTCAGAAGCCATCAATGCTCGCGGTTTTGCCAATGATGCCTTGAGATTGGTACGAATAAGCCCAGCTAGCTTTTCGAAGGTCTTGAAGCTGTAATCGTTAGCCTCGAACGATTGTTGAGCGAAGTCCTCGACAACCTTTGATGCTTCCGGAGCTGCTGCTACCGAAACCTTGTTGTCAACCTCGACCTTCGACTCGGGTTTGCACCCGGCTACGTTCGCGCTGGTTGTATGTCCAATAAGCTTCAAGGCATGCGTCCACTTGTTCTTTTCAGTGAAAGGCTTCGTGAACACATCCGCCACTTGTTCGGCTGTACCAACATTCAGTAGCTTGAAATGCCCAACCTCATATTGCTGCTTTAGCCATGAGAAACTCACCCTCTGTGTCCGATCAGTATGTCGTAGAACACCAGCTTGTCCTAGCAACAAAAGAGTGATTGTCGCCTGGTTATCCTCCATATGTCTAACTTCGAAACTTTCAGGAAGCTGGACACAGAGGCCGTTGATGTCTGCGATTGACAACCCATCCGGTCTAGTGGACCCGTAACGAATTTCGTCAAGTTCAGGGTCAATGCGTGCAACTATCGAATCCACCCTCTCAGCCCTTGGCTCGGCCTTGCGGCCGGCATCTCCACGCCATAGGAAATACCACAAGCTCAGGCAAGGTAGACCTTCGGCACGTAAACCGTGATTCGCTGCTACAACTTCGGACTCAGTAGAGCTCATTGTAATAGATGTTTGTTTCTTGCTGAAGGCATTGAGGGGAAAGTACGTGTTCGGTCCAACCAAAAACATCGCACATCCTGTAGTCGATTTTGAATCGAATTCGCCCGCAAAGTCGGAATCGCTGAACAACCACAGTCTGCAATCCATTATGCTGTCGCCTATGAAACCGCTCATAGTGACATCAAGCGAAGAGTTTATGTAGCAAACCAACCTGTGAAGTCCCAAGTCGCAATCTGGGCTCCACTTGGTCACCCTCGACGCTAAAGACTGTGTTGCCCTTAGAAGGTCCCATCTGGCCATGCGAGCAGCGAACAAAATCTTCATTAGTACCTTACTAGCAATAGGTTGCAAACGCCCTGCCTTCTCTCCTTCGGAAGCTGTTGGCAAAGCCACACGTAGCTCATGGAAGGGGGTTGCAGCTGGTTTCAGGGTCTTACGCTCTACCTTAGCAAGCTCGCAGTACCGATCAACGCAAGAGTCGAGAAAGTCCTTCATATCGTACGTGATGCGAGTGACTGGCTTGGTCATTGCGCCGGGCTTCTCTTTAACGTCTTGCGACAATGTAACAAACTTGCTCTGCTTCGCCTCCTTTTTAGCCTCAGACTTGTTACGAACCGGCTTGCCCTTGCGGGCAGCTGCAACTGCCAGCTCGAAATCAGACTGTTCCCGGCCTGCGAGGTCGAAGTAGGTTTCGCCGTCCCACCAATCCTGAAGACAGCGATCGCGCATTTGATTGCAACTGTCAACAACAACTTCCTCCGACTCACCCTTGCGGGTGGCTTTAGCCACCACAGTGTATCTCCGAGGGCCGATCCCCGGGAACATTCTAGCATCACCCTCGTTGGGGACATAAAGTCTTTTGCGAGGATAACGGTGATGTCGGATTGCTATGAGATTCTCGGGGTCAATGTCCCAATAGTCTTCTTTTCTAGCAGGAGTTGCAGCTGATGATTCGGGCTCAAATACGTGACGAAAAGGGTGTGCTTCCTTGGGCAGCTTGAGGTTGTGTTCTTCCTTGTGCATGCACCCAAAGTATCTACCAATGGCTTCCGGAAGATCCATATCAATGACGCTCGAGATCAAGTCCCATCCCTCCTTGATAGAGTTCTTAGGGCCAGCGAGTTTAAAGTCATCGACGTACACCACTAAAAGCAGCTTCTTCTTCGGGTGGTAGAATACACTCTTCCAAATGTCAGTCAATACTGCCTCGAACCCGACTTTCTTCAACTCAGCTTCGCAATGATGTTCCCAAATCCCCCCTGAATCGGGGTGTCCGTAAAGTGCCAACTTGAGTGGAACAACAGGGTCTTTCATGCCCTGCCATGCCTTAGGCCAGCGATTGCGAGGCAAACGTACCCAAGTGGCAACCCCTTGGAACAAAGCTTGGGTGTATGCTTGCTTGGCGTCGGCCTGCTGGATGATGTAGCCAGGTTGTGAGCCAAAGACGTCAAGAATCTTTCCTGCTTCCATAGATGCAGGACTGCTTGACATCTCCGCAAAGAGCGCGTGATCGGCGTTTTCATCAAGTACTTTATTTCCCTGAAATACCGAACGTCCCTTATACTTACGGTTGGGGTCGCCTTCTTTCAGCTCGGCTCCCTTTAGGGTACCAATCTCAAAAACATTGCCAAAGTGAACCTTGGTTTGAGATTTCTTAGCTTCGTTGGCAACCGACTCGAACTCCCTGACTTTGCCTTGTACCCAGCAGCCCTTGTCAACCAATTTCTGCCATTCTTTGTCCATGGCAGCCTGCGCCTTAGGGTTTGTTGCAATCTCCTTAGACGACAGGACCTTGGCGACAACAGCATACATCTCATCTGCGATCTGAAAAAGCTTCTTGTCATATAGCCCTTTGAGTCGTTCCCGATGTTCCTCGCTACACCCATGTAGGACTGGCATTGCAGGTACCGCCTTTACAGCTTCACGATACAGTGCCTCATTCTCCTCATGTAGCTTCTTCTCATGTTCTGCAATTGCTGTTGCTCTTTGTCTTTTCGACATAGCCTTCCATGCAGTATGATCAATAGCGTTAGGGCGGTTCTTGTTGTTCTTCTTGACCAAACATTCCCCACTCCACGTATAACCATACGGTGGTTCTTGCGCTGCTACTGCTGCGCTGGACTTCAGCTTCTGCTTCACAGAGAACGGAACATCATCAAGCAATGCTGCACGGGAATCAGACTTTGACTCACCCTTGCGGGTGGCTTCTTTCGCGTCCTTCGGCGGAGGATCTTTATCACGATCAGGACCAAATAGCTCTGGGAACATTTCATCCAGGTCTTCGCTAAGTTGTTCCTGAATTGTGGCTTCATCGTATCCCCCCCCTTCCTCCAGAGGAGGATGCGGGTTTTGCTCATCAAGGACATTGTGATGTTGTGCATCAAGGCTTGGTGGTTTATCCAAGGCAGGCTCTTGCAACAAAGGAAACTTAAAGTCACCATCTGGTAGCTCCAGTCTCTTAGTCCGAAACACACGTAGGTCTTCGTTTTCCAACGCGGCTTCGATGTTGTGTAGGGGAGCAACAACGTACTCAAGCTTGAAGATAAAACCAGGTTGGATGTGGTACCCAAGGAATATACCTTCAATCCCTGTGCCAGCAAACTTGGATCGTTCGGGCTTGCGTTGCTTCTTCGGGGCCCAGTAGAGGACTTTCGCTCCAAAGGGAATGCGCATGCCGTTGAACTTTTCACCGTACCTGATTTCCCACGGAATCTGACCATTGTCAATCCTCGCAGTGATGTTAAGACACATAGCATGATGTTGCGATGCAAGAGGCCAATAGCGATCTGGAAGTCCTGATTGCACTAAATTGGCCCGTGTGCCTTCCAAAATTGTTCTGATTTCTCGCTCGATTACGGCCTTGTTTTCGTTCACATACTCTCTAGAAGTGTTGTGACGAGCGCGAAGCTGTCTGGCCGCAAAGTCAAACTCCAACGCATTGTCGGAATATATAACCTTTACCTCATCATCTGTACCAAGGAAGTGCAACATGTCTTCGTAGCACTGCTCACCAGACTTTGTCTTGGAAGGGTACACGTATCTAAACTTGGAATACACGTCCTTCACAACATGAGCCACGGTTTCATCTTGGAACCCGTAATCCTTGGCATCAGCGGTCACGATGTGATCTACTGTGATGTGGTCACCGAACGATTTACTGTAGATTGTAGAGGATCCACCAGATTTACGCGCCTGGGGCGCATACATCTTGGCCCTTTGGCAAATGGGACAGAACGGATTCTTTGGTCTATGGGTAAGTCGATGTTCCAAAGACACAGCCTCAGCCCTCAAGGAAGCTTCATCCTTCTTAGACTTTGGCATTGTGTATGGCTCGACATCGCTGTCGGCTTGCGCCTCAACTTCCCCTTCAGGCAAAGCAAACAATGTGATAGTCGCAATAGTCCCTTCAGGTACTTCCCCATAGATTCCGTCCAATTCGTCAATGTTGACTGAATCCTCCAACAAAGACCACACGTCGTCCTTGAATCCCCAAGTAGTCTGGATTCTATACCTCGGGAACTTAGGAGCCGGTGTTCGAAACGTCTTTGGGAAATGTGCCACCTTAGCAGCGGGGCTGCCGTTGATGACAGTCCAACCTGCCTTTAGCAGTTGCCTCGTTTCCACCCCAGGAATGGGGGGAATGCAATTCGCCATCTTTTCGATGGGATCTTCTGCCGCGCCAGCTGGACCTTCAGGTTCGTGTTCGTGCTCTCCCCTAGCTGGTGCGGCGTGCCCTTGCGGGCAGCTGTTTACCGAAAACCCGAACCAGACTTGACAGAGGTCGGTGCAACCTTGCTGCCATCAGATTCTGAGGACTTTGCTGCTAAGCATGCCATCAATGGTCCTCGGTCGCCAAATACGGGAACATTGCCTCGGAGTTGGCAAATCATCTTCTGACCGTCTGGGCAAATGAAATATGGCGCCTCACCCGCTGGCCAGTGGAAAGAGAACCCCTGTTCCATGCACTTCTTTCCTACAGAGCAAACTGCAGGTGTGTTGGGGAGCTCAACGAACTGCAATGGGTTCCTCAATGACTCAATGTAGACCTCATGCTTGGTATCAGCGTCTACTGGTCCGTTAGCAGTGATCAAACTCACTGGGTTGGAAGCAACCTTCTTAGCCTTGCCCTTGAAATGGGCCTCCAAATCAGAGTGACTAATCAGATCTTCCTCGCTACCGGTGTCTGCGATGATTTCGAGGTTCTCACCTGTCACCGCCGCTGCAGCAAGTTGGGGCAGGGGAATTGCTTCTTTGCAGTGAATGCAGAATCCTTCTCTACCCCGACACCTGTAGTTACACTTGACCCGAACCTTAAGCTTCATCCCGTTCACTGCTGATTCCAAGTGACGGGCATTCTGCAAAGCTTCTTCGGTGTCCTCTGGAATTGATGGTGGGCATAGCTCCGCAGACTTGTACCTGAATTCGAACTTGTGCTTGTCTGGTACGAAGCTCCAGCCTTCACCCTCAGGCGGGATGTCAATGATTTCTGGCCTTAGGAACTGGACTTTCCTGCTTCGGGGCTTTCCGGCAGGGCCCTTGCGGGCTGCTACTGCGTAGGCCTTCACAGCATCGGCCGGTGGCTCACCCGTGAGGGTGGCTGTGAGGGAAAGACAGCAAGCGGCTGGCTTGTCCTCACTCTTTGGCCTTTTCTTACTGGGTCGCCTGCGCTTGCCGGAGGGCGATCTCTTCCCGTCCTTGCCAGCCTTATCGCCTTTGGCCGGGACAGAGGGAGCGGCATCCTTGTGCATGAATGGGCAATTCTTACCGTTCTTGCAGGTGCCTTTGGGGTAAAAGATGCAAGGAATCTTGGAGGTATCCTTCTTTTCCCCACCTTTACCGCCTTTACCTCCACCTTTTCTCGAAGGGGTACGTGGAGGTGTTCTGCCCCTTGTCTGTTCAGGAGTAGGCTTCACATGCTTGTATGGGCACTTATCACCTCGTGGGCACTTCCCACGCTGGAAAGCGTAGCAGGGCTTGTCCTGGCTTCGGCCGCGAGGGGTGTTCGGGGTATCGGAAGGAGCAGGGGCACCAAATCTGGCGCCGTGAGCTTTGGCGATTGCTGTGCGGTTTTTGCGAGTCCTATCTCTAGCCAATAGCTCTTTCACGCATTTGACCAAGTAGTCGTAAGTGCGTTGCTCTGTTCCTTCCTTAGCCCTGTCGTAAACCTCCAGATCAAACTTGAGCTTGCTAGCATTGCGAAGCTGACGAAGTAGAATATCTCTCAGCGTAGTCTCCTCGGGTTGGTGATTCAACCGCGATGACCGACTCCCAGTTGTGAATGAAAGTGCTAAGGTCATCACCATTCAACTGCACCTTGAGTAGATCTTCTACAGAGTAGAGGGAGCCTGCTTCTTCGTTGGTCTTGAAGTAGTGTTCGAACATCAGTAGAACCTGTCTACCACGAACGGCCCTACCAGCAGCTGCCTCAGACTCCTTGTAGTTAATGATCTGTCGTCCAAGATCACCCCTAGCAACCCTCGAGAGCGCCGAAAGGATCTTCGTGTCCAAAGTGAGGAATTTACCCGTGTCCCTCAACTTCTCCGCATCGGCGTCCCTGGAGTAAACCTCTTGAACCCATTTGAATGCCTCATCGGGTCTGTCCGATGCTGCCCGAACGGCCTCCCTAACTGTGATCTTCCAGCTCCTATAAGTCTCCGGGTTAGGGAAGTCGGGTAGCTTCACCGTTTCAGCTTCCTTAGCCTTGGGTTTGTCATCATCAGGCTTCTGGATAACCGACTTGAGTGCTTCAGCGAGAAGTACGCTAGGTTCTTTGTTTTCAGTAGATTCTGCCGGTTCTTTGTTATCACTCTGTTCAGCAGCAGATACCGCTACATTGTGGGCCTTGGTATCCTCAGGCTCTCCAATGTCATACCGTTGGGTCCTTCCCAAAACCGTCCGAAGCGACACAGGAATCTCCCTGGGGTTCGGAAGGGTCGGAATCCATGAATGGCTAGAACCCTGAACAAGCGGCGCTGCGGCACCACCTTGCGGTGGGCTTGGTTGAAGTTTGGAGCTCTCACTGGGATCGACTTTCACCGGCACGGCACCACCTTGCGGTGGGCTACTCTCCGCTGTCGACAAGACAGTCCTGAGTGAGTCGACCTCAGCTATAAGCTCCGCGTTCCTGTCCTGCAGGTCATCAACCAAGCTATCGTACTGCTGTGCCTCAGAGGTTAGCCTATGGTAGTACTCGTTTTCTTCCCATTGAAGCTTTTCCTCAAACTCAGACCCTAAAAAGGCGATCATCTCACTGTGGTTTTCTTCGATGCTCGAGCGCAATTCCGCGAAACGGCGTTCATGCTGTCTGTTTTCCGCAGTGAGCGTGCGCGCTGCTGCTTCCAGCTCGGATCGATGTGCATCAAACTGCATGGCCATAGACCTTTCATCATGACTTTCCCTTTGTGCGCGTGCCAGCTGTGCCTGCAGCTCATTGGCTGATTGTCGTTCTGATCGGGCGATTGTCTCTAGCACTCGTACTTCATTGTGTAGCTGTCCCACCAACAGGTGCGTGGATTGGCTAACAAATGCTAGCTGTTGACGATGATTCGCATCCGCTGTTGCCTCTAGGTGTGCAATGTATGCGTTGGCTTCGGCGTACACGTTGTCCAATGCAAATCGATGTCGTTGTTCCGCGCGAAGCTCCAAGGCACTTTGAATGCGGGGGTCATTCAGGAACAAGTTCACCTGAGTATTCTCCTGCAACAAATGCAAGAAGTACTGGTTCGCTTCCTGCTCCTGTCTACCACCAATACCACCGTCACCGTTGTTGCCCGCGGCCGTTGAGAACGGCACGATGTCCATTACGGAGCTAACTACGGCTGATAACCTGAAGTTTCCCAGGCTACCAGCTTGGCACGTCTAGTTACCGGTCAGTCAACCCTTGTGACCTTTTTCCACGGGGGACTTGGGCCAAGTGCGGTCGCGTAAAGACATAGCTAAGGACCATAGGAATAGCAATGGAGGCAGGGTAAAATCTACAACTACTACTACTACTACTACTACTACTACTACTACTACTACTACTACTACTACTACTACTACTACTACTAATTACTACTACTGCTACCACCACTACTACTGCTTCTGCTACTGCTACTGCTACTGCTACTGCTACTACTACTACTACTACTACTACTACTACTACTACTACTACTACTACTACTACTACTACTACTGCTAACACCACTACTACTGCTGCTGCTGCTACTACTACTACTGCTGCTACTACTACTACTACTACTACTACTACTACTACTACTAATTACTACTACTGCTACCACCACTACTACTGCTTCTGCTGCTACTACTGCTACTATTACTGCTACTACTACTACTACTAATACTACTGATATCACTACGACTACCACTACCACTACCACCACCGCCACCGCTCCCGCTCCCACTCTCACCCATGAACCTCCCAGTAAACCCAAAAACAAAAACACGTAATCGGGCCCCCAGTCCTTCCGCAATGCTTGGAAGTCCGCCCACTGGGAAATCACCTCAAGGCTTCGGGCTGCAACAACAAGGTTTAGGGTTTAGGGTTTACCTTAACCTACCAAACCTACTGTTTTGTGAGTTGTTGTTTAAACCCTAAATGTGGCTTTATAGGGACCCTACAAAAAAGTAGGATAGGGTTTAGGTTTCTTGTCTATCTAAAGTGCAATGGCCCTTTCTCTGAAGCAAGCTCAGGTAGCGAGGTTTGCCTTACTTGTAGGCTTCGATTTATGGCTTCAGGGTTAGTGAATCACCTTGAACTGTTAGGGTTTAGGGTTTACATAGTGTCTTAGGTAGCCTTCGTAACGGTACCCGCTTTCCTACCATGCGGCTTTGAAAAGGAGACCCCCCAAATCAAGGGGGCGAGAGCACCAGTGGGGACTGGGGCACCTGGGCAAAGACACTTAGGATAAAGGATCGATTTCTCGTGTGCAGGGTTCACTTTGGGCGAAGGTTAGGGTATATAGGATTCAGGACTTAGGGCGTAGGGGCTTGCACAGAGTTTAGGGCCCGTCTTGGGGTACAGGGAGAAACTTCGGGTTCGTAATAGCTTCTAGTCGTATTCCTTCGTTGTCAGTATATATTGATGGCACAGCATGCCCCACCCAAATCCCGTGATCGTTTATGAGGGCCCGATATTATGCGGTTTACTTGGAGCGTCGGGGGACTTAGTAAGTAGGTAGTAAGTCGACTTATAAGTACCCTAAAAGGGACCCTAATTGGGGTTATCGTACTTATAAGTCCCTAAAATAACCAGTTACTAAGTCCCCCGACCCTCCAAGTAGGGCCTAGGGCCTTGGTAAGGTCACTCGGGCTTTGCATCGCAGGATTCACAGGCTCAGGGCCGAACGCGAAAACCCAATACCTTAGAAGCTGCCCCCACCCTGTAATAGTGGTATAATAGGAATATAATAGGGCCCTAATATAATCCTTATAGTCACTATTACTGGGTGGGGGCAGCTTCTAACCAATACCGTAAGTTGCGGTGTCAAAAGGACTTAAGCACAGGGTTTGGGGGCTATATAGCTCGCACCCCACCACCATATATATATATATATATTTATGTATATATAGATATACATACTGATTCGGCACCATGAGGAATACTACTACGACTTTTTAAAAGCTCGAACACAGCATAAATTGGTAATAATTATACTTGCCTTACTTAAAGCATCACTTATATCTACCCATGAAGCTCCAAGTGACCCTAAACCTCAACCCCTAAACCAACATGGTCAGGAAACGTTTCCTCACTGGATGACATGTTAAAGGAGGCGGTTCAGGCTTGACCACTTAAAAAGAAATCTTCCCGCCTGTTGCTTCGGGGGGTCGTGTGTCGCAGGGTGTCACATTGTTTACGATTTGTTTGGCAGGCTGATGGGCTAGACTCCGAACCTGAGGCTGGTCAAGGAATGCCTGCAGCTTGTGGCGGAAGTCACATGGCAGGTGGAGCTCGTTGTTTTCCTCCAGCATTGCGGCCACGTGTCCGAACAAGCCATCCACGTCCTCGTGGCTATGGCCACTTTGAAGAAAGCGCGCTTCGGCTCGCCCGACTTTCTTGGCAGCAACTCGTGCAGCGAGGAGTCGAACTATTGTATTGATCTTCGATTCTCGTGCCGTGTTGTCGGCCTGACACAGGATCTCGCAATGTCTGAGGTTTATGTCTCGGTCAATGCAGGATAATGTCTGCCATTGCACTTAATGTCTGCCATTGCACTTGAACAATTGTGGCGAGGACGACGGTATGGCCGTGGACAATGCAGGCGACAAGCTCAATATTCGGCCGTACGAAATTACTGAACTCTTTCGCCTCCATAGCAAGCGACCTCGGTTCGCGGCAACGACGGTGTTTCAGGGCATTCAGGGTTTATAGGGTACCTTAACCTACAAGAACCTACTTTTTTGCTGGGGTCCCTATAAATTCCAGATTAGGGTGTATAATAAGAACCCACAAAAAATAGATTTGGCTAGGTTAAGGTAGGGCGTAGGAGTTTAGGGTTCAGGGGCTTAGGGGTTTATTGGGTTTCTCGGGCCGAGGCTTGCCGAGACACCGAGTCACGCGCCGCGCGCCAGCGCTGCTCGGCCGACAGAAGCCTCAAAGGAAGGTTGCGATAGGGCTTTGCAAGGGTCTGAGGTATGGCAGGCAGCAGTAAAAAAAGAAGTCATTTCGAGTACTACTACTGGTAAGTAGACGGGCAGTAGACCTAGCAATAAACACTGCAAGACTGCAAGACTCAGACACGCACACACACACACACACACACACACTCAAAAGTACTGCTAGCAACTCTACCGATAAGAAGTTAGAAGAGAGTCGAGCTTCAATCGGGTACACACCGAGTCCAAGCCCTAAACCTTCAACGTTTCTGGACAACATTGAGCCCATTACGGCAACTCTCCTCAGAAGCCATCACCTACAAAGACACCCAACACTCTATTGCGCGGAACGTCCGGAGAGCGGACGCTGCAGAAGCTCTGGCAGGTTGGGGAATGGTCTAGATTTGTCTCGCACCTTTGCCAGATCTGGGTCCCGTAAAGCAGTAGACACGTGGCGGTCAGAAGGCTTTTTCCGGACGAGATGTGCTGGTTTTCGGGTTTCGGGTTTAGGCTTTAGGGTTTTTTTGGGTTGAGGGCTTAAGGTTTACTGTAGGGCTTATGGCCTTTTAGGGTTTAGGGTTGCGCGGTGTAAGGCGTTTACGTTGTTTTGAGATGTCTAGCCCGTCTCACTCAGCCCAGCACTGCAGGCAGAAGCGGCGATAACCGCCAGGAATAGAGATCCTCTGCTGTCACTTGAAGGCTGGTGATGGTGGGCGTAATTAGAGTTCATGGGTAGTTGTAATTAAGGTAGGGTCAGAAGTAGAGTAATTGGGTTTGGGGGGTTTGGGGCTTGGTGTTTAGGCTAGGTGCCACTTGGAAGTTATGGGTAACTAGAAGCATAATTATAACCTGTATTCAAAAACTTATAGTCGATAGTATAAGTGGGGTTGGCAATTAACTGCTATACGTATAATAACCCAGCACTTATAGCAGCCCCTGAACCTCCAAGCGTGGCCTAGAAAAAGCGACCTCGCGGCTCCAGGAAGGTTCGCCTACGCTTCGTTCAGTTGCCGGCGAGATGCTTTGGTCACCCAACTCCGAAGCACCAGTTACAACAGAAACCCCAGACCCCGAACCCATAAACCCTAAACCCTACATACATCATGTATAGAAACCCTAAACCCTACATAACTTAAGTATATAAACCATAAACCCTAAAGATGCAACCTCTGTCGGGCCGAGCTTGGAGGCTATGCACGAAGGTGTGAGGTCTCGGGGGGAGGCCAAGTCACGACACGGGTATACTTAGGAGGAAAACGCGCTTACCAGAACTACCACTGTTGCCGCTGCTACCTTTACGTCGGAGAAGGAGTCAATAGGTTGTACTCTGCTTGCATGCGGTCGCTACATCGGACTCAATGCACACACCCAAGCGCAGTCCTGATTGAGAGCAACCCCGGATCAAGGCCTGGGGTTTCGACTTAGAACCTAGAGCCATAGATTTCAGGTAGCTGGGAACAACAAGCTTTCACGGCCTCCAAAACCTCTAAACCACTGAACGCCCCTGAACTGTCGAAGATAAGTGGCTGGACTTCAACATCCAGGTCCGTCAAGTTCGGCTCACAAATGTTCCGCAAGCGCTCCTCCAAACTTCAGACATTTGGGGCTCTCCGTGCTGTATAAAAGTGAGCATCTAACCCGTCCCAAACCCCAATAATGATGGGGAACCCTATAACGACCTGTATTCTTCTTGGAACATTCCTTCTGAAGCCTGTCCTGCAACGCATCGGACTGGGCCAAGCAGTCGTCCTGGCAGCTCCGAGAGCTCTGGGGGGTTTGCGGGTTTTGGAGGAACCCTAAACCCTAAACCTTGCCTTTGGTTAGTAGGGAATGGAGGAATGGGGTACGACTATAACTACTAGTACTACCATTCTTCCATTCCCTACTAACCAAAGGTAAGAAACCCGAAACCCTAAACCCTAAACGGTTCTGGGGCGAAGTTGACCTTTACAGACGCCGCTCTGCAAGCTTCGGGTTTGGGGATTTCTTGGTTTTGCGGGCAGGGTCGGAAGCACCCAGGGGTGAGGATCTTCACGTTAAGGTTGAAGGCCGTTTTAGTAGAAGGGTAGAGACGTAGGGTTCAGAACGTTCCCTGTATACCTCGTTGCGACTGTGAGTTTGGAGTAGCCCGCACTGCAGAGCTGTTGGAATCTGGAATTAATTCATTGATTCCTAGACCCTACTTATATGGTAGAGTTTGGAAAATGCTATCCAATGGTCCAAGACCCCTAAACCCTTAACCCCTAAGCCCGTAAACCACGATAAACCCCAAGCCCTACGCTTCGCTGACGTGCATCCTGCATGCCGGGCTGGCTGCCTAGTCGCGGGCACTCGGGACAAAGAACGTGAGGCCTTCAGACATGACAGTTACAATGGTAATAACCAGGATGCCGATGACATGACGATGGTGCTGATGATGATGATGATGATGATGGTGAGGAGGAGGAGGAGGAGGAGGAGGAGGAGGAGGAGGAGGAGGAGGACGAATGACATGTTGTGTTGCTGATGATGATGGTGATGATCGTGACGATGATGGTTTTTCATGATGGTGATGATGATGGTGATGGCTGTTGCCAACTCCCCATGCAGCTCAGAGCTCACAGGCTTGTCCTCCGGGATTCCTAGGGGCCTTTGAACAAGCTGCTCGCTTCTTCAAGTCGCCGAGTAGGCAACAGTCACAGACTTTCGATCCGAATGCAGGTACTATAATCAATAATCCCAAGCTGTACGTAGGACGTAGGAAATTCAGGAAACACACGACACGTTCACACGATCCTAACTAAGCTTCAAGGTTTCAGAACTCACGGACTGCAGTTTCATCTCTTGTTTTTGAGTTTAGGGCCGCTCTTCTGCTCCTTCTCGGCCGTCAGCTTCTCTGCATGCATCACGAGAGCATCGAGGCACCTGAAACGGCTGAGTCGAGGTTTAGGACCTCTAACCGTCAACGTCCTGAACCCTGAACCCACATTGTGCCGTCATGCTCATCGCGGAACGCAACGTACAAGACGGGTCATTAAGCTTGCTGCAAGCGTGGAGGTGTTTGGAGGCATTGAAGACAATGAACTGGGAACAACGGAACGAGAAAATCAATGAATGTGCATGGAGCATCTTGCAAGGTTGAGTGGAGGGGTCATTCGTTATGGTAGATCGAGTGGCGTGTACAGCAGCAGGACAAATGCATGACCTACGTACGCCCATGCAGTACACTATGCCCTAATATGCTCTGGACAAAGGCTCTTTCGCAAAAAAACATTAACAGTCCAAGCCTGCTCCCTAAATCCTAAACCCTTAACCTACAACTCTGTTAAGAAACAGCCTCATGCACGGATCACTCGGACAGATACACTGACATCGTTGCCACATGTTGCCACCTTGCTGCCTTGCTTAATGAAGGTGAAGGACCGTGAAGTTCCGTGAAGGACTCGCAACCCAGAGCGCGAATCTGAAAACTCTTCAGACCCTATATATCCAAACTCTAAAACCCACAACCTAAAACTTCAACACTGCACCCTGAACCCCCAAAACCTGACCTTGATCCCCCCGCCCTACCCGACTTCCTAAATCCTTGTAGGGCCCCGCACGGCAACCCCAAACCATACACCCAAAACACTGGGACCCTGCATAAACTCTTCAGAAAACCCTATTCTATTTCTAAGGCCCCTATACTATAGTATCTTTACAGATCCCCTATAGACCCCTTTAAGGAACCCTATAGACCCCTTTAAGGAACCCTTTGAAGGAACCCTAAGGCCTCTGCATCGATGCAAGCTGACCCGTCAGGACGTGCAGGTCGCGTTGTTGCTCCTGCAGCTTTAACCCTAAACCCTAAACCCGAAACCCCTAAACCACTTTAGGGTTGAAGGTTTGTCGGTGTAACTACTGCTAAGACTTTGACTTTGGGTAGTTGTCACATCTAGGGTCTCTTTTGGGTACCTTAAGTGGTATACGGCACAAGTTGAAGGTTATCGGGTTAAGGTTTAGTTTCGGGTTTAGAGGTGTAGGGTTCAAGGTCAGGGTTTAGGGTTTAGGGTTGAGTTTTTAGTGTTTCTTTACGGGTTCAATGGATCTACAAAGCCTTTATGGGTGTTGCGGCTTTGGCTTTGGCGTGTAGCACTTTGAGGCGTAATTCGCTCTGTGAAGTTAAGGTCAGCGTGTGTAACGTAATCTTTTCTGTGCCAGGGCTTTCATGATAGTCCGTGTAAATAGTGCTACGAATATGGTTCGGTCCAAACCCTAGACCCTAAGGTCTGCAAAAACAGGCTCCATGCGCACATGAGTCTCAGCACGCCCGTGGCAATTTCATACCCAAGCTGCACCAAACGCGACAGTATGGGTCTTAGGGTTTAGAGTTTGGGGTCTGAGGTTTGGAGTCTGGGGCTCAGGGTTTTACCTGGGTTTGTATCTTGAACAAACGACTCTATCGATTTCTGCTCATCCCTCGAGCGGAGACCTGTACTTTAACTTAAGCCCTTAGCCTTAGACTAACACTTCTGGAACCCCTCACAGAAAAACTTGTCTGTAGTAACGCGCAGAAAAACCAGCATGAGCAAGAAAACCCCTAAACCCCTAAACCCTAAACCCCTGCAGGAACTGACCTGTCGCATCTGCCCGAGCTGCGGCGCGCTCGAGGGAGGCATCCGGCGATCGTGAGACCGGCGCCTGGGCAGAGGTTTGATAGGGTCTAGGGTTTAGGGCCTTTTAGGGTTCAGGGTTTCAGGTTCAAGATTTAGGGTTAAAGGTTTAAGGCTTAGGGTTTAGGGTTTAAGGTTTAGGGATAAGGGTTTAAGGTTTAGGGTTCAGGGCTTCGGGTTTAAAAGGGTTTAAGGTTTGGGGCTTAAGGTTTAGGGTTTAGGGTTGGGAGGTTGTTCAAGGATTTCGGGTTTAGGACGGATCAGGTTTGGATTACAGGGTGTAGGGTTTAGGGCGGGTGGGGCTTCGGGCTTTTAGGGTTAGGGTTTAAAGTTTAGGGTAAAGGGTTTGTGGCTCGGAGTTTCTTGACGGGTTCGCTTGTCAGAAGGCTCGAGGGGTTTAGGGCTTTAGGGCTGAGTTGAGGATTTAGGGTTGAAGATCTAGGATGTAGGGCCAAAGATTTATATGGGTGTTTCCGAAAATAGGGACCCTAATATCGTAGCCTGAACAGTAGGATCCTTATGTTAAGGACCCCAAAATCTGGTACCCCTAGTTTTCGGAAACTCCAATATGATGGGTGAAGGGTCTAAAAGACAGGGCCCTACTTGGAGGGTCGGGGGACTTAGTAACTGATTACTTTAGGGACTTATAAGTGCCATAACCCCAATTAGGGTCCCATTTAGGGTACTTATAAGTCTACTCGCTACCTACTTCCTAAGTCCCTGAACCCTAAACCCTATACTACCCTTATAGAGCCCTTTAAAGGAACCCTTAGACTCCCCTTTAAAGGAGCCCTTACTAAGTCCCCCGACCCTCCAAGTATCTTCTGAGGGGTAGAGCCGGGCACCTGGTGGGCGCCGGCAGCTGCTCGGGGAGGACCAAAGCCTCACAGTCTCGATGGGTTTAAAGCCTGCCTGTAGCCAAAATGACCTACCTTTTTAGGGGTCCTTATTATGGTTTCTATGTATAGTTCCTTAAAAAGGTAGGTCTTTCGGGCCACAGGTGAGGACTTGGCTTAGGGTTTATGGATTCAGCGTATTCGGGTGCAGGCATTTGAGGTTTAAGGGTTGCGGTTTAGATGCTCTGCTTCGATGAAGAAGTATATGAGCGAAAATGACACGAGGAGCAAGTAGAAGTCGCAGCAATAGTCATCAAGTGGAAGCAATGATGCTATGAGATTCATGAGAAGAGGACGAGCAGAAGCAGAAGCGAAACAATCAACATAAAGAAATCAACCGAAATAAATGTACTTATCTATATAAACAGAAAGGTATCTTTCAGTTTTACTGCGCCTTGAATATCATAAAATCAGTCGCAATATACTTGCTATTGTATGTGTGTTAGGACGATGTTTTCCAGTAGAGTTCGTATTCCTTTCCAGTTTCCCCTCGAGTGTCGTCGGGATCATGCTCCTTTCTTAACTTATGACACAGGCGATGATAAGGCGCCATCTGTTCGCTAACTCGCGCCAAAGTTACACCTGTTGGCAAGCTCGTCAATATTTTTTGTTTGATTGTTCTCGGAATTCATATAACTTGTTCCTACGTATTATACATATTTTGTCTTTGAATATGTTTGTCATTTACCAGTACTGAACAGAAACACTTGAAAGAAACACTATCTTTATAATTATCATATCTATATACGTATGACGAAAAGCTTATAATGCAAACTACATCCAGAACTTCGACGCTAAGAAAAGCAAAGTGCCAAATCCGGCAATGGCAAAACAAAATACTGCCATAACGCTATATGAAGACCGCGAAAACAGCACAATTCACGACAGCAGTACATTCAACAACTGGCTTGTCAATCGGCAATGCCAAAGCAAGAGAGAAAGGAGACAAGGCATATCAAGGGGCGGTGAACAAAATGTCAGGACACACCACCAATAACGGAAAGGATGAAGACCACACCAGCAAAGGCCAGAGAAACAAAGAAGGAAAAGGCAGCGGAACGAAACAAGCAAAAAGTGCTGAGATGGCATGAAGACAGATACAAATCAATTCAATTCAACAACCCCTCTCACCCGGTTGCCTGTAAGGAACTTAAATTAAGCTAAGTACTATAGGAAACCACATTATTTAATGGCCATACCACCATGTCATGGCAACTTACATTAAATTCCTTAACAGCAAGACCCATCTGTGGGTTGGGCGTGGTGGGGTTGTCTGAGTTTGTGCCGCGATGCTCAGGGAGTGTTTTAGTCACCGTGTCTCCCTTCATGTTGGGATATTGGTTATAAAATGGATCAGGCTATGGATGTAGTTGTTGGTTAGGATTTGGGGTCTGTGGTAGGAGGTAGGTTTTAGGGTACTGCTTTTGAAAGGGCGTGAAAGCGTGCAGGCTGGTGTAGGAATAGGCATGGCTATGATAAGTCTAACTTCACTCAAATGTAGCCCATATTAGGGGACTTGCAACCCACCTAAAACTACCCATGAAGCTCTAAGTAGAGGCTGGAGACCATCCAAGTCACGCTGCGAGCAAGACGTAAAATTGTCAACAAAGGAAGCGTGTGACAGTCATGGTATCCCATTACAGTAAACCCCAGAAAGTTGGAACATGGTTTGGGAGGATTCGTGCTAGGATCCCTTATACTTTACCCTAAGGGCATGGGGATAATGATGTTCCAACTTTCTGGCTTCTACTGTATGGTACCTGTATGAATGCAAGATGAGGCACAACATGTTCTGGAGATGGGATGCCCAGCACGATGGTGATCATGCCGATCTCTTCCCATCCGGCTGAACCTGGATCTCTCTCAGAGTTTAGAGTTTGGCATTGTTTTGGGGTTTAGTAGGGTTTAGTGTTGTTCGGGGATTTAGGGTTCAGGCTCCCTATACGGTTTAGCGAGATCTAGCGTGGACATCCTAAATCGACTAATATAGGGGCCTGAATAGCTAGAGTAGGGTTTTGGTGCCCATTATACTATACTTATAATAAGGAACCCCCCAAAAAAATACAGGTAATTATTAAGGCCCCTACACTACACCATCCAAATCGTAGAACCCTACTCCGACACCAAGCTTTCCAGAGCCGTTCCTGTTCACCCTCAACATGCCTGTAGTTCTTACATGTGGGCCCCTTTTCATTTCAGGTCTTGTTTAAGGGTGACGTATCATTTGTCCTTGTTTAAGGGCGTCGTATTATTCTGGGGACCAACCAAGGCCCCTAATTTATTGAAGTACCAATGTGTCCCATCTCCCCACCGCAACCCCAAACTCCTTATGTCGTGCACTGCGCACGCAGCTCTGGCCCTTAGGGTTGAGGGTTTAGGAACTCCATACAAAAATGGTTTAGGGTTTAGGGTTTAGGGTTTAGGAACTCCAAGCAAAATCCTTCTTATAAACCGCTGAAAGACACTCCTCTAAATAACCAAAACTCTGCACGCATGTAACCTCTTGGTTTCGCCCTGATGCCGAAAAAGGGGTCTCACTGAACCAGGCAGAATGAGTGAAAGGCTTAGAGATTGCGAGTATCTCTGGCTGAAAAGGTGTATATATATATACACACATATATATATATATATATATACAGCCCACAGAAAATAGATATGCGTTCATAGGACTACCATTGCCACTTTTATCTCTAATACAGCTTTATAACCCAGCTACAGTAGATGTGGGAGTGCCGAAAACAAAGGACCCTAATATAGAGGATCCTTCTTATAAAGGACCCCAAAATAAGGTACCCCTCCCCAATATTTGGAAACTCCTACAAGTATGTTGGCAGGGGACCGACAGCCGCGGCGTAGAGCGGGAAGGAGCGGAGCTGGGGACAGCGAAGGACCTGTCAGGGAGAGCTTTGTAACGTAGGGGCCTTAATAAAAAAGACTATACTATCTTGGGAGGGTTCCTCATTATAACTATAATAGAACGGGCCCCTAAACCCTAATTAGTCCAGTTATTAATCATTAAGGCCCCTATAGCGGGGTCTAGGGCTGAAGGATGTCGACGGTATAGGTTGAGGGTTTAGAGTCTCAGGCAAGTAGGGAAGTGAGGATAAGGGTTGATGACACTTACTTACCCTTAGGGTCCATGTACCCATATAGAGATACATGGGCCCCAATGTACCTATAGAGGGACTACATTAAGGCCAATGTATATACTATACGAGTACATGGACCCTTAGGGTTACAGAGTTAAGAGGGCATATAAGTTTACAAGATTCTATAAAGTTTATAGTCAGAAGCCTTGGGGGACGGCACTTTGGCAGCCTCGATGCTTCCTCTGCTCAAGGCACTTCAATAAAGAAACATTCGCGGCCATTCAAAGTTTAGCTACTGCAGGGTGCAGAAGGGGAGTCAGCTAGGCAGCTACGACCGCTAGGAAACATCACAATGTCTTGCTATAGTAACCTCCGCGGCGCGTTGCAAGATTGCCTGTTCATCGCTCTACAGCACTCAAGCTTGAACACAGATGGCTTTCTGCGTGCTGACATCTTCTGGAGGTTGTTCTTACGAAGGGGGTCTCGATATGCTTCTGCACTATGACTACATGATATTGAATGAAGTAGCCATGAGGACTAGTGTCAGTAAGCATGCATCCCGAACCGATCCCCTTTCACAACATAGGATTCCCTTCTTCTGGTAAAGTTAGTAAGTTATTACAAGAAGGACTACATCGTGGAGAGTAGTCTCCTCTGAAGGCAGTGTAGGGCGGATCCCTGATTTATGAACACACTTGTTCACCCCGGACCCCTGCATGACTCCTCAACGCTTTGAGCCCCAAATCTGTCCCGGCACATCTGTGGGAGCGATGATTTGAAAATTCGACACCAGTCTGCCCAAGCAAGTCACTCAAATTTATGGAGACTGCGCCAGCACTTTTACATACTATCAGCATCACGAAACACACCATCTTATCACTTTAATGGAGACTCATAGCCAGAACCACTAGACCCCAATCTTCTCGGACACTTTAAAGATCTATTGAACCTACAAACGGCGAGCGTCAACAGCGAACCGTATACAAACATTGGCGCTCTAGTGCAACGGACCACTAAGTTTGAGAGGAACTGTGGATGAGTTTTCGGGCGTAGGGCTGTGGTTTGCGCAAGCTCCGCGGCTAACCTAGCACCTAAACCTTACACGCTAAAGAGCCTCTTTGATAGTAGCATCCGAGACGGCAAAGGAGCAGGAAGATATCGGAGTGCCTGTGTCCTGAGGGACCCAAGAAAAGTAGCTAGAGTTCAGGGTTTGACGGTTGAACTTCATGTTCGAAAAAGAGGGCTGAGGGCAGAGGGTGGTTTAGTTGTTGATGAGGCCTCCAAGTTGTTTTCAAAGGCTATGATGTTGAATCCTCTGCGAGACCACCAGCGGAAATCGAGTCTTCGAACAGACGGTGCGGTTTGTTGGTTCAAAGCCACGGCCACTCCGGTTTTTGTCGTACCTCAAGCCTTCAGACATACAGCCCCCAAGCCTCGCTGGATTGAAAGTGTCTTCACAATCGGTTTGGGTCAAGCTTATCTCTAACCGGCTGCCGTGTTCGTGCTCGACAGTTCTGGGACCAGAGAAGCAAGGTGGGCAGCCAATGTGCGGAGAAGAGTGCATGGGATATTTTATTTGTCACTTCCCACTCCTGGCCGGACTTAACCGAGAACTGCTCGAGGCAATGAAACTCAAGCTTTTTCCTGCGGATGACAGTAAGCAGGCCTACTTCCACACCGACTCCTTGAAGAATCTTGGGAACTACGGTTGATGATATAAATCCTGCATGACCTTCAGGGCCCGAAACTATGGGAATTATGGTATATTCCCTATTATGGGTAATGCAGGATTTATATCATCAACAGTAGGGACAGACTCAAGTTGGGAACCCCGGGGGTGTCCAAGAGGACGCGTGGATCAGGTCTGGGCTGTTTGAGTTGGAGGGTCGAAGATGATGCGGATATGTGGGGGCAACACTGTAGAACTCGGGGCCAATTTGAATCTGTATTCGTAATCCATAGTTGGGATTCTTTACGCAGCCGAAGAAGCTAAGATCATCCGGCGGTCTGTCTCAGCGTCGATCAATGAGAAGAAGCGGAAGGAAAGATTCGCAATCTGCCCCTTCCTCAGTCGTGATAGAAATCACCCAAAGAAACAATCTAAACCTGACCGCACCCCAAGAAAGCTGCCCGCCACCACGATCCTAGCTCCCTATACACCCTCAATCCGAAATTCGAACTAACCGACTCTGCTGACTGAGCTCTGGTGCTCGTAGGCCGGGGGTTGAGAGCCTACGGGGTTCAGGGTCAAGGGCATAAATATAATATCTATTTATATATATATATAATTATTTATCTATTTATTTGTTTATGTATTTATTTATTTATGTATATATTTGTGTATATATATACATATATATATATATATATATATATATGTATATATATACACATATGCATGTATTTATGCATGTATGTATGTATGTATGTATGTATCTATGTATGTAAGCAGTTATAGGTGCATATCGGGTGTAATTACTGCTTGAGGTTTCGGGGTTTCTGAGTTCTGGATAGATCCGAAACTTCGGGTGCGGGTCTTAGAGTGATGACTCGTACCCTAGCGGTCGATCGCTGGCGCAGAATTGACTTGACAACTCTGGGTATACTGGGGTATCATCTAGTATTATGGTATACTGTAGCATAGTATGGTACGAGTAGGAGTACCACTAGATATGGGAAGTAGTTCTACTACGGAATACGGACTGTATGTTCTGGCTACGACTGATACTACCCGAAGGGTCCATGTACCCACCGAGTATATACTTGAGTACTTTGAGGCCAAAGTATACACTATTTGGGAGTTTCCGGAATTGGGGGTACCTCATTTTAGGGGTCCTTATAATAAGGATCCGACTATTTAGGGTACTATATTAGGGTCCCCTATTTTCGGAAACTCCCATTTGGGCACATTGATCCTTGGGGCTATGCTCAAGAGCGATGGCCACTTATCGAACCGTGCAGGCACGGATCTGCAGCGGCAGCTTCCATTGCTTGATGCTCCAGCTCGGTAATGCTGCGATGTCTGCCACCTCCTTGCAACCAAGGTCGATTTATTAGACAGGTGTTCCAGCGTTAGGATGTAAGGTCTTCCACATCACCATCTCAATAGCCTCGGGTTCTGCATGGGGGCTTGTCGGTCAAGCCGAAATCCCTGGACTACGTTGTTGGGTTCAGTGTTGGATTCTGACTTTTTGGCCTGGCTCAGGGTGGCCACACTTTGCCTTTTCTCCTTGAGAATTGCAACTAATATACAGGACGGCTGGAGCCAAACACTGCAGCCTTTGTACAATCGAAGTCTGCCAAAGCCTCAACCCTGAAGAAACCCGAAAGCATCAACACCGTACACTTCCAAACACGACAAACACTAAAACCCGGAACAATCTAGATTTGTCCGGTTCATCTTCGAGCCTCTAACAAGCGTGTCGGCTCGACTGCTTTTGGAGGCTGATGGCTGTAAAGCTCCGTCGTGCTTTATCTTACAGTTTGGGCGATTTCGGGCTTAGATCAGAAGCCTCATGAGGCCTGACAAATTTGGAGGGGTGTAGGTCTTTTGGGATTAGTGCTGGCGAACCTGAGCTTTCTGCTCCAGGTATTGTTGCGCTTGGCCTCAAAAAGCTAACATTCTGCCAAGACACTGAGACGTAAACCAAGCGCTGTGCAGACAGAACGGCCTCGATGGCCATGCAGTAGCCTCGGTTTGACATCCAGCACAACGGGCCCTCAACCCAACCCCAATACACGAAACCTTTAATCCTAGGCCCTACACCCTAAACCGATGCGATCCTCATCCTGATAATATAGGCCTTTTAGAGGCAAAGTCTGTCCTACCCTAGTTTCCCCACATCCTATCCCAAAATCATCAGGGGGCCGGACCCTCTTGTTCCACTTGGAGGTTCATGCATGCTACGTAGTTTGAGCTATATTACAGGAATATGAGTTTAAGTCGCATTAGGGACCTATAACTCCACTTATAACTACCCTAAACTTGCCCTAAACCCTAAAACCCTAAACCCCTAAACCCTGAACCTTATAGAGCCCTTAAAGGAGCCCTATATAACTCCACTGATAACTACCCATGAACCGTCTCCACTCTGACTCCTAGAGAGACCTCCAGGAGGTATAGATCCTCAACCTCGAAGAAGAACCCTAAACCCTTCAAGACCCTTATTGTAGAAGCCAGAAAGTTGGAACATCAGACTCCTCATGCCCTTAAGGTAAAGTATAAGGGATCCTAGCACTAATCCTCCTAAAGCCATGTTCCAACTTTCTGGCTTCTACTGTAAGAAGAAGAACCCTAACCCTTAAGAAGAAGAACCTTAAAACTCCAAGCCCATCGACAAATCGAGACCCTAAAGGCTTCAGAGCTTAGGATTGGGGGTTTAGCGTTTGCCTACAGTCTCCATTGTAGTTCCTTTTTGTTTTAGAGGTAGGATCCTAGAAGGTACCCCCCAAAACAGGAACTACCATGCAGACTATAGGCAGGGCCTAGGATTCAGGGTCTGACTCCCGAAACGCTGTAGTTCCGAGCAGGAGGATGCCGTTAAGTCTAGCTCTCCTGCAATCGGGGGTGGGGCAGGTTTCGTTTGCAGAGAGGGGTCGATCTCGAGCTTCGGAGTTCGCTTTTAAACAATACCTACATGGAGGATCATGGGACTTCGTAAGCAAGGCTATAAGTACCTGTATTGGGAGTACAGTCATAAGTAGCTACAGCTCTATTATAGTTGCCTGGTTATAACCCTAGATACTAAATCCTGCGAACCTTCAAGTAGATTACTCCTACACCCTAAATCTCGCGCAAGCTTTTGCTGGGCAAGCTGCGGCCGGGTCTTCGAAACTGTACTTGGCTGAGCCTTTGCTAAGGGCACGGGGCTTGGGGTTCGAAGGCCAGGTAAGAAAATGGTTTTAGGTTTTTTCAGCTTCCTTTGAGGGGTTCTACAAGTGTTTGGGCTTTTAGGAGTGTAGGATTTAGGACTCGAGGGCTTAAGGCCTGCACTTTGTCAGGGTTCGACAAGGGTTCTATTGTAAAGAATCTACAGGGGTCGAAAGAGGCAAGAACTTCCACCAAAAATATTTCAGCAAGCTCTTTCACTTACAGGCTTCTATATGGTGATAATGGCATCGTGCACGGAGGTTTAACGTTCCGGGGCTCTCAGTGTTACGGGATTGCTTGGAGGTTCAGGGGTAGTTCGAAGCGAAGCCTAAGGCTCGTACAACTACCCTGAGCTACCAGCACCTACTTTCGTAGGTTCCCTATATACGGGTTAGGGTTTAGGGTTTACGGTTTAATTCAATATCAGGATTTATGGCAAGAAGCGACAAAGGCAGGATTTGCTAGTTTAAGGTAGGGTTTGGGCTTTGGGGTTCGTAGACCTTGGAACACAATCCAAACCCTAAACCCTCAAAACCCTAAACCCGTGAAACCCTGAATCCCGAAGACCGTAAACCCCTAAAGCCTTGAACCCATGAAGCCCTACCTGCACCCATACCTTCAACCTAAACCCTAAACCCTTAAGCCTAGACCCTTACAGTAGAAGCCAGAAAGTTGGAACATCAATATCCCCATGCCCTTAAGGTAAAGTATAAGGGATCCTAGCACGAATCCTCTTAAATCCATGTTCCAACTTTCTGGCTTCTACTGTAACCTTAAACCCTAAACCCATACGACCTACAGCCCCAACTCCCGAGCTATCGACTGCTTCAGACAGGGAACTCCAGTCCAAGCTCCATGGCGGAGAGACCAGCTCCATGGGTTTGGGTTTTGGCTTTTGGGTTTGAGGGGTTTAGGGTTTTTAGGGTTCTAGGGTTCCAGAGTCTAGGGTTTAGGGTTTAGGGGTTTAGGGTTTAGGGTCCGGTTTGGGGGCCGGGGAACCTGGGGGTGATCAGGGTCTTAAGGGCTTTAGTGCTTAGGGCTTGTGGTTTTTAGGGTTTCGGGTTTAGGGCTTATGGGGTTTAGGGCGTATGTGTTTGGGTTCTAGGGTGGTTCGGTATCAGATTTGTTGGTCTGAGTTTACGAAGTTTGTCTCCATTGCTGAGGGTTACGGCCTATGGACCTGAAACTTAGACTTCGTGGTGACATGCAATTATGGCAAATTTATGGGTCGAGACAACGGTCTGGCTAGGAGAGCAGCATTTCATGGTTTGGGCCTGGGTTTCAGGATTTCAGGTGGGGACTGGTGTAGGCATTCAATGACAATTACCGCAACTCGGCTTTGCTCAGAAGGTTCCTACTTGCTGAGTATCATGGGGAGCTAAAGGCTAACCTTTTTGGTTATAAAGGAGATATATAGGGACTATACTACCCAAAAAAGTTAAAGGTTACCTACTCTACTACTACTAGGGGTTATAGCATCCGACGGCCAATGTGCAGTAGCCCCCCCCTTCTCGGGCACACGAAGAATTGCCTTGCCTCTGCGACAAGTGTCTACCTGCCCCCACCAATACATGCACACTCTGGTATGGTGGCCTGAGGAACCCTACGTAGGGAATAGCACTGTCAAACTATGTCACGAACGCTAGGTCTAGGTTTAAGAGCGGTAAGCCCAAGGCTCTACGCCAAACCCGAATGCCCTCAACCCTAAACCGCTAAAAACCTTCAACCCTAAACCCTAAAAACCCTAAACCCTAACACCCTCAACCCTAAACTATGAACCCAGAACCCCAAACCCAGAACCCGAAATCCGGACCCCCTAAACAACCCCCCCTCCCCTTGCAAGGACTTCTTTCGTGTCACCCGGGTTTGGAAGGAGAAGCCTTCTGAGTATAATGCTGTAAACACACGGATGTCCCTGAAACCAATGACCTCAAAACCACAAAAGCTAGGCAGTCCTGGCTTATGCTGTTGCAGCCCATGCACGCACTTCACTCCGCACTAGATTTCGTGTGCTCCAGACACAAAGCCCTAAATCCCAAAATTCACCCGCAACCCCAACAACCAAGGGCAAAACCCCCAAACCCATCTCAAACCCTAAACCCCCTTGACGTTTTCCCGGGGCCGTGTGGGACTGGGCTGGCCGGGAATCTCCCAGCGGCGCTCGAAAATGGCCAGTGTCGTAAGCTTCACTACGGGTTCTTAGAGGGTTCGTTCAAGGGTTGCTTTCGGGGGTTATGATCAATTTTAGGGCTTTGAGTGTCGTAGACATGGGATTTGGGACTCGTTTAGGCTTAGGTTGAGAGGGTTTATTAGGCAAGGGGTCATGGGGCTGAGCGTTACAAGGCAGAAGACCTGCGATGAACTGGATCTTATTCCCCTAATCAGCTGGGGTGTAGGGTTTAGGGCCAGTTTAGGGTTTATCAGACATTTTTGCTTGATAAGCAAAGAGTTGAGGAGGCAGCAAGACATTTTCTTGCGACACCGGCGAACGGTATGAGCCTTTGGCTTGCATGCGACTGAGCGACACTCTAACCACTAGTATCCAGCACGCCAGAATGCCCGAAGCCAAACTGTAGCAACTAGTGCAACGAAAGTGCTGCAAGGATTCGAAAAGGTGCGCAATATGACCTTCAGAGACCAAACGTTTAAAACGAGCGAAAGTGGGGAAGCTGCATGCAGTCTTGCGAACCAAAACGAGGTATGTTCATGAAGGAGCCGAAGCACCAACCTCAACCAAACTTTTGAGAACGTTTGAGACCATCACCAAACATCTGTCTGACCTTTGCGATTCGCGCAGGCCGGCCCATTTGTGTACATTATGCTGGCACTCCGGCCAGGTTAACTGGGCCGTTGTTGGGCTGGTTGCACGCTGGGCGTCGTCAGTGTGAAAACCGTTTCCACCAGAAGCTGCATGTCTAGAGTCTAGAGTAGTGAACACTCCAAAGTTCCCTGTGCTTACTAAACACTAAACCCTATACCCTAAAACCCTAAAACCCTAAACCCTAAACCCTAAACCCATCACCCTAATCAGGGAACTGCAAGCCTGCAAAGTCTCACCAAAGAGATTTCAGCCCAGGGACAAAAAAAAGCCGGACAAAAGTAGGTAGTGCTGGCAGGCTTCGGGTCGGGGGTTCACGGTTTAAAGCCTAGAGTTTAGGTTATATACTACTGTGAAGAATGTATAATAATTGTTCATCATTTTTATCCCTTCATGGTCCTCTCATAGTTACAGCGTGGTGTACCCCAAAACGCGGATTAGCGCAGGAAGATCACCAACCGTCCCACAACAGCCCGGAAAGTGGCTCTAAGTGAGCCAGCAAGGATGCCTGAAGCAGGGTTGAGGGTTTAGGGCTCAGGGCTTAAGTAGGCAAAAGCCTTAGGGTTTAGGCTTTAGGTTTAGTCTCTAGGGCTTAGGGTTTGGGGTTTAGAACTCAGGGCTTAGGGTTCAGGGTCGTGCTCACGAGTCACTTCTACTTCGATCGCGAACGATCTCTGCTTGCCCTGACAAAAACTACATTGACAACGGACGTATTACGTGTCATACCCTTGAACTATGGGGTCACACCTGCCGTGCTTCTGCACTTTTTCGAGCTTGCAGGGTCGAGGATCTTCAGCTGCATCTTCAAAGGGATCTATGAGGGTTCTGTAAGGGTTCCTTTTAAGGGATTCATAAAAGATCTATCAGGGATCTACAAAGGGATCTATAAAGGGTGTAGGGGTTCAACGTGCAAAATGTTGTTGCCATGCCACGGGGTTGCCCATCTCTCTTACCCTAAACCCTCAACCCTGAATAACCCTGAATAACCCTGAATAACCCTGAACTCTTATCCCCAAAACCTCAAACTCTAAACCCTAAACCCTAAGTTCAGGCACGCGGTTGTTGCAGGATAGTTGCCCTAGTGAGATGCCTTGAGTTGCCGGGACTATGGCTTAAAGCGAACCCTTTTACAGAACCCTGTAGTAGCCCTCAAAGGAACCATATTCTAGAACCCGATAGCACCCTTAAAGGAGGGAACCAGGGGAGGTTCCAGCGAGTAAGGTATACAGTAGACTGGCAGAGTCAGGGCGCCGGGTTCTAGGCTTTAAGAGGCGGGATCAGATTCGGTTACCGTCCACGTGAGCCAACGATCTCTCTGCACTCAGGTTTGGGGCACAGGCCCCAACCAAGACCGCACAAGGGATAGAACAGGGCTTGGGGGTCAGTTAGACTATAGATAGAATAGGAACCCTGAGAAGTAGTAGTTAACACTGCTTATTCCGACCACTATATTGCCCGTCCATCTTGCTCCAGGAAGCCACGTGTAACTTGGAGAACCCACTTATAACCCCAATTATAACTACCCATGAACCTCCAAGTAGGCCCTAAACCCTATACCCTTATAGAACCCCTATAGATCCCCCTTTAAAGGGACCCTTATAACTACCCATGAACCCTCCAAGTAGTTACAAAGTCTAGATGATGGGCTTATCGTGTTCGATGTAGGTCAGCCTGAGAGTTTCCGGGCTTAGGAATGTTTAGGAATGGCTACTTGGAGGGTCGGGGGACTTAGTAAGTAGGTAGTAAGTAGACTGATAAGTACCCTAAAAGGGACCCTAATTGGGGTTATGATACTTATAAGTCCCTAAAACAACCAGTTACTAAGTCCCCGACCCTCCAAGTAGGGCTAACCTACTTGTTCAGTATATATCCTGGGGAACTAAAGGATAACCTTTGGGAGTACATCGGAAGTGTAGTAACCCCCAGAAAGCTTAAAGGTTACCTACTCTACTACTAGATTAAAGCCTGAGCCCTCAACCTTGCACTCACATCCCTGAGCGACGCGTAGAGTCGCAAAGGCTTTAGCTCTCAGTGGCTTCAAGTTTGGAAACACCACGCGAAGCAGAGTCGTTGCAAATGACCTGCCAGAGAAACGGCGATGGTCGTGCCCGATCTTCTTGAGTTTCTTGCGTCCTAACTAATGACATACGCCTGAAGGTTCAACATCGATGGGGGTCTGTGGGCTGGGTTGATGCTGCATGCGTGTCTATATGAGGAAACGAAAGGTGCCAACAAGGCAGTAAGTGAGCTTGTCGTGTGCTGTAACGAGCAATCACGGAATCGCTCGTATCAGGTTGATCGGCATTGTGATGGTGAGCATCGTCGTAACCATCGTCACTACCCCAAACCGGCCAAAAACAATGTTCGTCAACGTCACAGTCAAAACCGCAACCCATGTCATATGTCTGCAGCAATCGCGGCAGCGTCATACAACCACCACCACCACCACCACCACCACCGCCACCACCGCCACCACCGCCACCACCACCACCACCACCACCACCACCACCACCACCAGGACAAGGACAAGGACCAGGAGCAGCACTAGCAGCAGCAGCACTAATCAGCACGGTCTGCAATGACAGCCATCGCCATCACCGCAAGCAAAATATAGCTCTTCTTCACCAGCACCTGCTTCAGCACAACGGGCCTCATAAACACGACAGACATCGTGCTCATGGTTAACATCGCCGCACCGGCACCGGCACCAGCAGCATCAACACCATCACCGTCATCATCGCCATCAGCAGTACGACCAACAGTACCCTTAACATCATCAACAAAGCAGCAGCAACAAGAAGAACAAGAGGAAACACGATGAATGCCACAAACATGCGACATCAGCAACACCACACCACCTATCATCATCATCATCATCATCATCATCATCACCACAACCATCATCAGTGTTACGATTAATCCTATTATTGGCATTAAAATGTTGTTTCTTGTCACAGTCTCAATCAGAATGATCGTCATCGTCGTCATCATCAGCCTTATCAACAATAACATCCTCATCATTATCCTCACCACCATCAT